TTTTTGTAAGCTTTAACATAGGCATAAGGATCACAACAGACAAATATCCATATTTTTAGTAAAAGTTGTCTATCTTTCTCCTTTTCTTTCAAAAAGTTGTAAAACTATGACTATATATTAAATTTCAATGAAATTAGCCAGTGTTCTGCTCTTCATTTCCTGTTTTTTCCTCTTTTCTCCATCAAAGTACTCTAAACTGCCCTGTAAAGGGGAGTTTTATTCCACACGCACCATCCCTTTTCCCTAACCCTTTATGCACTCAAAACACCAGCTATAAGTGAAGCACGGCAAAATCCAGACTTCAAAGAACAAAAATTTGATTCAGCCCTTGCCACAGAAACAACGAACAATGTGAAAGGAATATTGCCAACTTAGCTAGCATTTGTAGACTTCAAAGTGTTTTGAGTCTCAAACTTAACGTGGGCCGTATGTCGTCGGAAAGAGAAAATTAAAGCAAAAAACAACATGTTCAGACAAAAAAACCCGACTTTGGTTAACCAAAAAACCCTAAAAGGCTTGATTTGGGATAAGTCAATGTTTGCTTTGCTGGGTGCTTGGAAAAAACTGCGTTCCTTTTTTCCGTAGCCAGGGGCGGAGCTATGAAGAGACCAGGGAGTGCTATAGCCCCCTATTTTATTATTATTATTATTATTATTATTATTAAATTTGTTTAATTTGTGATTTAAGTATATAGAGTTAAATATGTAATAAATATATTTTTTATAATTAATTTATATAAAAGTTAATATTTATTTTAATACTAATGATATATAAATACTTTTAATTAGATAATTAGTAATTAAAGTCAATAATTATATTTTTTTATATAAATTAATTATAAAAAAATATATTAATTCCATCTTTTAGCCTTTACATTAAAAACATAAGTTAAAAATTATTTGTGAATATGCACTTTAACTCTCGTTTCTATTTAAAATGCATATTCACAGATAATTTTTGCGCACGTTCACACAATTTATTTCTAACAATTTTTAAAAAGGCATATCTAATTTTAGGTTGGTACTGGTACAGTTAAAAAAAGGTTAAATGTTAAATTTGGTCCCTCAACTTTAGTGAGTTGCACATTTTTGGTCCTTCAATAATTTTTTGCGCTTTTTTGATCCCTCAACTCTAAGAAATGCACACTGTTAGTCCTTCTGTCAATTTATACCGTTAACTACGACACGTTGCATTTTTTATAATTTTTTTGATGACATGGCAAACATAATTTAAAAAAATGTTGATCTGGAATTTTTTGTTTAAGACACGTTATTGCCAACTCATCACCAACTCATCAATCGATTTTGCCTTAATAAAAAAAGAAAAAATTACAAATTTACCCATCTCCTTTTTTTGATCCATCTTCTTCCCCTCTTTTGATCATCTTCTTCCTTTTTTTTTTTTTTCTTTTTCTTTCTTCCTCTTCTTCCTCTGTGTCTGCTGCGTTCGGTGGAACCCAGTTGTTGGGTTCGACGGAACCCAGCCTGGGTTCCACCGAACCCAGATCTGCTAGGTTCGAGGAACCCAGATCTGCTCAGTTCGAGGAATCCAGATCTGCTGGGTTTTGTTGAACCCAGCAACTGGGTTCCTCGAACCCAGATCGGTGGAACCCAGCAACTGGGTTCCATCGAACCCAGCTCGGGTTTGATGAACCCAGTTTGCTGGGTTCGAGTTGGGTTCCGTCGAACCCAGCTCCACTTTTTTTTTTTTTTTTTTTGTTATATGTTTGTTTGCGAAGAGATTATTCAAGTTGCAGGTTATGAGGGATTTTTGGATCATTTTTTTTTATATTTTTTAAGTATTGTCTAAATGATTTCAATGTTCAAAATGGAAAGAACAGAAGCAGTTGGGCAAAGAAGCAATTCTTAGTGG